GGCTCACCAATGGTTTCCATCTTGTGGTGAACCCTCTGTATTCACTCTGGTGAAGTCTTCTCTTGATTGTTGACTTTGACACACATACACCTACCTCCTGGAGAGTGTTCTTGATCTGGCCAACTGTTGTGAAGGGTGTTTTCTTCACCAGGGAAAGAATTCTTCGGTCATCCACCACAGTTATTTTCCGTGGTCTTCCGGGTCTTTTGGTGCTGCTGAGCTCACCGGTGCGTTCCTTCTTTTTAAGAATGTTCCAAACAGTTGTTTTGTCCATGCCTAATGTTTTTGCTATCTCTCTGATGGGTTTGTTTTGTTTTTTCAGCCTAATGATGGCTTGCTTCACTGATAGTGACAGCTCTTTGGATCTCATCTTGAGAGTTGACAGCAACAGATTCCAAATGCAAATAGCACATTTGAAATGAACTCTGGACCTTTTATCTGCTCATTGTAATTGGGATAATGAGGGAATAACACACACCTGGCCATGGAACAGCTGAGAAGCCAATTGTCCCATTACTTTTGGTCCCTTAACAAATGGGAGGCACATATGCAAACTGTTGTAACTTCTACATCGTTCACCTGATTTGGATGTAAATACACTCAAATTAAAGCTGACAGTCTGCAGTTAAAGCACATCTTGTTCGTTTCATTTCAAATCCATTGTGGTGGTGTATAGAGCCAAAAATGTTAGAATTGTGTCAATGTCCCAATATTTATGGACCTGACTGTATATCTTGTGAAGTGTTGTGGGGCAGCAGTCCCATGCCGTGAGCATTTTGTAGTGCTTTTCCTGGGCAGCTGTGGTTTTTAAACATTCCCAACCCTTTCTGAAACGAAACAAATGTTTGGCATTAGATACTGTTAAAGAACTGAAGCGCGCACATGCAAAGAAAAAAAAAAATCACTGACCGGTACAATTTTTATGATAGAAGAGACTCTCTGTCTTTTGTCATAATTGCTTCACCCTGTCTGTCAGAGTTAACGAACACGGACCCCCACATACGTCGCTCAGCCATCTGTGTGCATACATGGGAGTGACACGGACTCCAAGGCAAGGATTGGTCATGAATTCTTCCACTGATGCCAAGGATGGGACACTATTTCTCCTTTTACTGACCACAGGCACTGACACTTTTTTTTTTTTTTTTTTTTTTTCCCTCCCATTGCCTAAGAGCGCTAACCTATGAGCTTGTCCCTGGAGATCATGCACAGTTTGTTGTCCTTCTTCAGCAAAGGTGATAATATACAGCCATCTATGATCTCTGCCCACCTTTACTGCGTAGCTATCATAGATATCCATGGATTGACTCATTTCTGAGTATTAGAGGTTTTTCTTGATCACCGCCATGGTTTGAACTGATCAGTAAACTGCTTTCCTATTCTGAACTCTTTGTAATTGTGCCAAACCCGACTGCTCAATTTATATGTACAATTCCTCCTGGCATGTCTGCAGCCTACTTCTCACGTATTCTGTTCTGTGCAACCTCCCTCTCTAGGAAGTGCAGAGGGCGGAGCTCAGAACTAGGAACAGGTGACATGATGAAATCTCCCCAAAGGGATCATAGAAAACCCATAATAAAAAAAAAAAAGTGACCCACCCCCATTGGCTAGAGTTGGAATGTATGCCGTGCTGGAAGAGTATTTGCATGATCCTTGGGCTGGGGGGGAATTCTGGGAAAGGACCCCACAGCTGTCTTTGCTGGCACCTTGGAATGGACAAATTCTCATTCATACAGGATTTATACCAGATTTTTAACATTTAGCTCTGTAGATATCATTTTATGGGTGTCTATGACTGATCTTACCTTTTGTGTGTTATCTGCTGCTCAGTACACCTTACCTGGTTTTATTGGGGACGAGTATTCTGTTTTCTCCCTGCTACTCAAATAAAACGTAGTCATGTATTGTAGAGGAGAGATCACAGCTTCCACGCCCAGCCTGTATTGTGTGCTGTGAGACCTTACTCAGTCACTCTGATCCTTCAATCATGTAAATACATGGCTTGTATGAGTTTCCAGACTCCCTATAAGGAAGGAAGAAGACACAATGAGCCTCCTACATGAACATTCCCTGATTGTGTTGTTCACAGGGTAATGAGTTGCATGTCATGTACTGGAAATTTGAGGGAGCAACTGATTGCCTGGTACAGACACACGATTCTAGTTCCACCAGCAGCGCATTTTACTGCATAGCCTGCTGGCGTTCCATGTGAAGGCAGCGGTGTCCAAGCACTGTAACTTTTTAATTTTTTAATTTTTTTTGTGCTTTTTGGGTGTTTTTTTGTGTGTGGTTTTTTTTTTTTTTTTTTTTTTTTTTTGAACTGTCAAAGTTGTGAAGTGACATTTCATTCAGTTCTATTGGTCCAGTGTGATCTAGTGGATTGCATGGCACCATGCAGCAATGTGGTGTGAACTGTCATGATGGAAAATTAGGCTTTTTGCCTTGTTATGAGATGGGATTGCATTAGCAAGGTTGCCCAGCACAGCCCAAGGCATCTGGTGTGAACAGGCCCAATGCCTTTTCGGTGGTTGTAATCCTAGCCTGGAAGCCTCTGTATTCCAATACACTGTAATCTCTGCAGTCATGCAAAGTTTCTATCAGTGCCCATCTCGGACTTATGTCCTGTGTGACACTAGACATCATGCACAGCCTTCCTCCCTGAGCTGACCATCATGAACATATCCCTGTAGGTGCCGTTGTGATGTCAACATCTCAATGACCATATGTTCTCCTTTGTGTTTTGTGGCTTTTTTTTTTTTTTGTTCCTTTCCTTTCTTTTTCAGCTCTGTCTCTTCTATCCTCTGTGCGGAGAATGATGTACTTGTGTCCTTTGATGCCAAGTATCCCAGGGCGGGGGTCTTTGAAAAACAAGCAGGTGACATAGCCAACCAATCTCCACTGAAACATAATAAAAATTACTTCATATTGGAACAAGGTGGGGGCAAAGGGGCACCTGCCCTGGGCGCAGTGTTGAAGGGGTGCATTGGGAGCTTTGACTCTTCTTGCGTCTCAGTGACAGGACCAAAGCTGTCAGGTTCTGTTTTGGTCCACCCAGCACCTGTAAGACTATAGTATCCTTAGATCTTCGGGGTCTAGTCCCGGCTTTTCCTGTGTTCCGTTGGCTTGTGTCCCCACCCGCCGGCCAGCCCACCACATGTAAGCATTTAGTACCCATAGATCTGCCAGGTCTAGTCTCACAATTCATGCATGCACTGTTGGCTTCTGTCCCTGCTTCCCACCCCACCCATCATCTGTAGCACTCTTCTAGGCTTTGTTCTATAGGTCTGTTAAGTGGTGGGCAGTTACGGAAGCTGACAGTGGATGCAGGCCTAAACCCAGCAGATCTAAGGCTACTGAATGCTTGCATGTGATGGGCGGGCCGGCGTGTGAGGACCCAAGCCGACAGATAATGCAGGACTAGACCCGGCAGATCTAAGGCTACTAAATGCTTGTATGTGATGGGCGGGCCGGTGTGTGAGGACCCAAGCCAACAGATAATGCAGGACTAGACCCGGCAGATCTAGGGGTACTGAATGCTTACATGTGATGGGCGGGCCGGCGTGTGAGGACCCAAGCCGACAGATAATGCAGGACTAGACCCGGCAGATCTAGGGGTACTGAATGCTTACATGTGATGGGCGGGCCGGCGTGTGAGGACCCAAGCCGACAGATAATGCAGGACTAGACCCGGCAGATCTAAGAATCGTTAAGACTTACAGGTGGTGGGAGGGCTGGCGGGCCAGCAGGCAGGGATGGAGGCTGACAGAAGATACTGGGACCAGATATAAAAACACTGAAGTTACAGGTACGATGCAGTTTCAGTGCAGGATTTGAGCACTGTGGATGTGATTGCTAATTTGGAGAGGACTCGGTGGACTTTTTCAATAGTTGTTAAATGATTAACATGTTTCTGCTACTTTTACCTACAGGAAAGCTTTTAATAAAGCTTACCTGTAGGTAAAATGAATATCTCCTGAACATGCACCATTTAGGAGATATTCCAGTGAGCAACAGCCGATGATGTCAATGGCGCATGTGCTCTGAAGGGACGGCATACTCATGCTGTCCTTTCTGAGCTCTGTGAGGCTGTCACGGCTGCCGCACAGAGCTCAGAAAGGAAAGCATGAGTATGCCGTCCCTTCAGAGCACATGCGCCATTCAAAGAACAAGAGCCTGTAAACCTGGAAGGAAGGCCAGGTAAAGATGGCAGCGCCTACAGTGATGACCGCACACCACTGGAGGGTTTCGTTTCAAGGTAAGCCACTCATAATGTGCTAGTATCTGATGCATACTAACACATTATGATTTTGCCTTTCCAAGGGAACTTTTTTTTATTATTGGAGGAAATTTGTTACAGCATTAAAGTTGCTTTGTGATATAGTTGTGTTTTTTGTTTCTTAGTGCATTTTCTTATAGCTATTATGCCAAATTCACACCTATGTGTTTGATGTGGCTTGCTTTTGTGCAGGCACAGCAGCCCATTCATTTGTTCAAAAAAAATTTTGAATGTTCTCATCACTGTGGTCAAAAATTAATGCCGATTTGACACCCACTAACAATCAGAAAATTGAATGTTCTTAACCACTAGCCTACAGGGCACTTATACCCCCTTCCTGCCCAGGCCAATTTCCAGCTTTCAGCGCTGTCACACTTTGAATGACAATTGTGCGGTCATGCAACACTGAACCCATATGAAATTTTTAGCATTTTTTTGAGACAGAGCTTTCTTTTGGTGGTATTTAATCACCTCTGGGATTTTTATTTTTTCTTAAACCAAAAACCACTGACAATTTTGAAAAAAAAGTTTTTTCTTAGTTTTTGTTATACAGTTTTGTAAATAAGTGATTTTTCTCCTTCACTGATGTGCGCTAATGAGGCTGCACTGATGGGCACTGATAGGCAGCACTGATGAGGAGGCACTGGTAGGTTGCACTGATGGGCATTGACAGGCATCACTGATGCATGGCACTGATACGCAGCACTGACTGGCACTGATGCGCACTGGTAGGCGACATTGGCACTGATAGGTGGCACTGATAGGTGGCACTGATAGGTGGCACTGATAGGTGGCACTGATAGGTGGCACTGATAGGTGGCACTGATAGGTGGCACTGATAGGTGGCACTGATAGGGTGGCACTGATAGGTGACATTGAAAGTCAGCTCACATGGGCACTGATATGTGGCATTGATGTGCACTGATGGGCACTGAGCACTGACAGGTGGCACTTCTGGGGCCACACTGATCAGGGCACACTGATCATCAGTGCCCTGATGATCAGTGTACATGTCTCCTCCGCGGAAAGCCGATTACCGGCTCTCCTCTCCTCTCGAGCTGTCAGCGTGACAGCTCGAGAGGAAAGAAATACGGATAACCGGCATTTCCCTGTTTACATGTGATCAGCTGTGATTGGACACAGCTGATCACATGACCGAGCCGACATCTTCGGCTCTTTCGCTGCGCGCTCCCTGAGCCGCGCATGCGCAGTGAGAATGGTAGGACGTCATATGACGTCCTATCAGAATGAGAGAACCACCTTGCGCCCGTCATTGTACTATAGGGCGGGCAGAAGGTGGTTAAAACTAAAAAATTTCAGAAACATTCTACTAATATATGGCCAGCCTTTAGACCTGCTGGGGTGGCTTCAGCAGGAAAGTGTGGCATTCCATGTTCAGCAACCTGTTCAGATTTATGCTTTCTAAGCCTTCAAATGTCTCTTGTTGACCAATTTTGCATTTTCTTCATTTGTATAAATACTCTTCTTACAGAACATATACAGTACTTGACATTCAGCTTTGAGAACATATGTACACATGTAAATTTTGTTGTCCCACAATAAGAAAAGTGGTCTTGATTGAAATCTACAAAAACTCTCCATTTTCAGTAAACCTCAACAGGACAGTTTGAAAAAGCTGAAGGAGAGCAGCAAACAATCTCTGGTCACAGACTTGCTAAATGGGGAAAATGTTTGTACTTTCATCTTGAAAGCATATGAATGGGTTATATGTACAGGTTTACTATGACTGTTTTGTTAGTCATTTTCAATACAATGAAAACCTAAGCCTTTGTTTTACTGTTCGTTAGGCCTGGAGAAGGGGCCCCGGCAGTTGATGAGAGCTGGTATTGCCCTGATCTTTGTGGGCCATATCAATTTTATCTTGGGAGCCATTGTTCATGGAACCGTATTAAGGCATGTGGCCAATCCAGAGAAGAGGGTGAGCCCGGAATATTGCACCGCCAATATCATCTCTGTTGTGTCCGGACTGTTGGTGAGTGGGGATTGGGGGGGGGGGGGGGGGCATTATTCAGAATTATGTCTGTGCAGTGTGTTGCATTATAGTGATCTATTCATTATGATGGTATTGCCACTTTAGGCACTTTTTCCAATGCATACCAATGCAGCACAGTGGTGTGAATGGAACTCACAGGAATATTGCCTTGGTAGGCTGGCCAGCACATATGGTTTCTATGGACCCATAATAAATTAATATACTAAAAAAAGGCCTATGCAGTCAAAATCACATACACATATTTTAAATCCACATATAGTATACAGTTTATAATTAATATATAAATCTACATAGGCCTGTCCAGTAGGGTATATAGTAATCACCGGTCTTCAGGGCGGACTGTGAGAGGAGAGGAGTTCGTCACGCTGCCCCGCCTACATCCTGGCTGCCCCGCCTACACCCTGACAGCCAATGTTTGCCACGCTCCGCGGACCGGATTAAAAGGTCCGCCGGGCCGTAGTTTGCCCATTGCTGGGCTAGCTGCAGAGTCCTGACTTTTGGGGTGGCCGCCCGAGAGGAGGGAGGGGAGCGGGCGCCCGGCACACAGAAGAGCCGCATTAAAGTCTGTAAAGAGCCGCATGTGGCTCGCGAGCCACGGCTTGCCGACCACTGTTCTATGCTATTTGTTTCGATCTCAACAGGGATTCCTGTGCTAAGCTGATAATGGCTTCTATGAAGTACCAAAATTGCTTTGTGGATATTGACCCCTCAAGTATGCACTTTGAATACTCCAAAAGTTGGATATGGCGTTGCTCTAATACACGTCACCCTCTTGTGGGGTTTCACAAAAAAAATACATATGTTAGAAGTATGCAAAGCATACAGTATTTTTGTACAGACAAATGTGATGTGAAGAAGAAAGCTAGGGTTCTGTGGAACTATAGAGGACCTCCTGAGGTTACTAGGGGTTCCTTGAACAGTGAGCAATGGTGGATCTCACCATTGCTGATCACCAATGCAAGGGGTCAATTTTCAACTGATCATTAATGCTAGAGGACACCATGATTTCTTCCATATGCTTTTCCTTTATGCAGCTATTTTATTTCAACAGTTGTACTGAAAATAATTTTGTAGGAGGTTGATAGAAAAACCCTGGGTATTCTGTAGTTATGTTACTGTACCATAAGCTGTAGGTTTAGCAGGGTTCTTCAGCATCCTGAAGGTTATTTCAGGGGTTCCTCAAGGCCAATGTGGTTTTAAAAGGCTGGTATAGACAAAAGTGGCAGTCTCTGTATATGTTATCATCCATCTGCAATGATTATATGACCAGTAATATGGTTCTCCCTAAAGTAGTTCTTCACCTAGTAGAGGGTGCGTGTGTAGGTTCTTTTAAAAACCTGTATAAAATGAACAATAAAGTCTCACCATATGATGCTATCCATAGCTTCGATTACATCAGATATTAATACAGGGCACCATTCTGAAAGAAGGAAGTGCCACCCAGGTCTCATTATGACCTTGTCTTTAGGCATGGTACGTGCCAGATAGAATTCGTTCTGCAGCATAGCCTTGCCTTGGAGCTACGCCTCCAATTCACCATTTTTTTTTTTTTTTTTTTTTTTTTTTTTTTTCTCACCAGCAGATTTTTGGATGGCAGATTGCATCTGCAAACTAATTCTACTGTGCCTAAAGAGATACAGTCATGGCCGAAATTGTTGGCACCCTTGATATTTCTCCAGGAAATCATGTATTTCTCACGAAACGTATTGCATTAACACATGTTTTGCTATACACATGTTTATTCCCTTTGTGTGTATTGGGACAAAACAAAAAAAAAAGGGAGGAAAGAAAGCAAATTCGACATAATGTCACACAAACCTCCAAAAATGGGCTGGACAAAAGTATTGCACCCTTTCACAACTGCGGATAAATAAGAATGTTACAAGCATGTGATGCTCCTGTAAACTCACCTGGGGCAAGTAACAGGTGTGGGCAATATAGAAATCACACCTGAAAGCAGATAAAAAGGAGAGACGTTCACTTAACCTTTGCATTGTGTGTCTGTCTGTGCCACACTAAGCATGGACAACAGAAAGAGGAGACGAGAACTGTCTGAGGACCTGAGAACCAAAATTGTGGCAAAATATCAACAATCTCAAGGTTACAAGTCCATCTCCAGAGAACTAGATTTGCCTTTGTCCACAGTGCGCAACATTATCAAGAAGTTTGCAACCCATGGCACTGTAGCTAATCTCCCTGGTCGTGGACGGATGAGGAAAATTGATGAAAGATTGCAACGCAGAATAGTCCGGATGGTGGATAAGCAGCCCCAAACATGTTCCAAAGACATTCAAGCTGTCCTGCAGGCTCAGGGAGCATCAGTGTCAGCGCGAACTATCCGTCGACATTTAAATGAAATGAAACGCTATGGCAGGAGACCCAGGAGGACCCCACTGCTGACACAGAGACATAAAAAAGCAAGACTACAGTTTGCCAAAATGTACTTGAGTAAGCCAAAAGCCTTCTGGGAAAACGTCTTGTGGACAGATGAGACCAAGATAGAGCTTTTCGGTAAAGCACATCATTCTACTGTTTACCGAAAACGGAATGAGGCCTACAAAGAACAAAACACAGTACCTACGGTAAAATATGGTGGAGGTTCAATGATGTTTTGGGGTTGTTTTGCTGCCTCTGGCACTGGGTGCCTTGACTGTGTGCAAGGCATCATGAAATCTGAGGATTACCAAAGGATTTTGGGTCGCACTGTAGGGCCCAGTGTCAGAAAGCTGGGTTTGCGTCCAAGATCCTGGGTCTTCCAGCAGGACAATGACCCCAAACATACGTCAAAAAGCACTCAGAAATGGATGGCAAAGAAGCGCTGGAGAGTTCTGAAGTGGCCAGCAATGAGCCCAGATCTAAATCCCATTGAACACCTGTGGAGAGATCTTAAAATTGCTGTTGGGAAAAGGTGTCCTTCCAATAAGAGAGACCTGGAGCTGTTTGCAAAGGAAGAGTGGTCCAAAATTCCGGGTGAGAGGTGTCAGAAGCTTATTGATGGTTATAGGAAGCGACTGATTTCAGTTATGTTTTCCAAAGGGTGTGCAACCAAATATTAAGTTAAGGGTGCCAATACTTTTGTCCAGCCCATTTTTGGGGTTTTGTGTGACATTGTCATATTTGCTTTTCTGCCTCTGTTTTATATTTGTTCCAATACATACAAAGGGAATAAACATGTGTATAGCAAAACATGTGTTAATGCAATACCTTTTTTGTGTGAAATACTTGATTTTCAGGAAAAATATCAAGGGTGCCAACAATTTCGGCCATGACTGTATAGACATATTGAGACCTGGATGGAACATCTTTCTTTCATAATTGATAGAGTGGTGAACTGTTTAAAAAATTTTAGTATTTTTTTCTTTTCCCTGTACAATATGTGAACTTGCCAGGAAACCAGAATTGTTATTAGGAAGCCTGTATTAGTGCTGGCAGTATGAATGCTCCACATAGTCTATGGTCCTATGTTTACCTTTTTTATTCCCTTCAATCTTCCAATCTGGTTGCTATAGAAAACTGAGAATGAGCCTAGTCCTAAAAGCACAGACGCAAACATTGCGATATAACCATCTTTTTCTCTGTATGGATTTCCCTTAAACAATAAAAAAAAAAAATATTTTACTTGCTACTTTGAAACTTTTTTTTATTTCTCTTGTACCCTCCCATATTGAATAAACTTGCCCCTGTAGTCAATTTATGCACCTTTTACCAGACTTTAGTTGTCAATACTAAATTCTTTTTATTGACACTTTGTAAGTGACTTCTGTACAGCAAAGTTAGCTGAAAAGTCATTTAACCTTTACTAACTTTCACTGTTTTAGTGAAATGTTCAATATATTGAATGTTTTCTGTGTTCTGCAGAGCATCACTACGGGGATCTGCGCTATCTTGGCCTCCAGGAACATTGCAAGAGCCAAACTTGTAAGTGACAAATTTGTGAATGTGTGCCATCTCTTTTCTCCCATGAATTCTTTGTTTGATCAGAGTTCTGCCTTACAGCACTAGGGTCCTCTGCTCGAATCCCAACCAGGACCATGGCCCTTGCATGGGTCTCCTCCCACGCGCCAAAGACAGGCTAGGTTATTTGCCCCTAATATGTCCATATGAGGTAGGCACCTCCGATTGTAAGCCCGTTGAGTGCAAGGTCTGATCTGTATGTACAATATATGGTAAATCGCTGGTGCTATAGAATTACCTGTAGTGATAAGTGGAATGAGACCAGTGTAGTAATTGTCCATAGCCCCCAGTCAGGTTTCATTTTGCCTTGGTAAAAAGAGAAGGAAGCTAGTTGCTGTGGACAACCCTTCACTTTCTCTAGATTTGTTCCTGTGCTTATATTCTGTCCCCTAGAATGACCATATACCCTACTGTATTAGCAAGCAGTGTGACCAATCTTAGAAAACAGCCTACTGCCAAGGAGCAGAGAAGTAGAACAGTGTTTGTGTCTATTCACCTTTTGTCTATGGTAGCCTATTCTACCTCCGTCCTAAATCTTTCCTTATGTCTTTGTTTACCACTCTTCTCCTCCTTTCATCTTTTTGTTCCTAAATTGGGACCATTTTAGTTCTTTGTCATCAACATGTTGCTTGTATCCATACAGCACTGGGCCCTCCTGGTCCTCTCCTTGCTGAACGCTCTGCTATCGGCTGCCTGTTTTGTGGGTCTCGTCTTATCCATCTCGCTTACAATTGCCGATGGAGGCAAGAACCTCATATCTGGATGTAATGCCACCGTCCTCCCTGCGGACACCCGCTCTGTCATCATGAGTAATGAGTGCCCCTTCGACACTACACGAATCTACGTGAGTTTCTGGCATGACTGGTTATATATGTTGGGTTGTTTGTTTGTTTTTATTAAATAATTTTGAATATGTAGATTTAAAACTCTTCTCCAGGAAAATAACTAAATACACAGTTGACAAATGTCTATGCAAATTATATTACCTGCCATAAGATTTGGAATTCTGCATTCTTGTGATTACTGGTTTAGTGCTACAGCTTTTTGTATCTTCTCTCTGCCTATAGGACATGATGGTGGGGATGATTAAATGTTCAATAAGTTACCTTGAAGTGGAGAGGATACACAAAGTGAAGCAAAGCAGGACCAGGCGATAGGGCTGTGGTCATGCAGTTAGTGAATCACAAGTCTGGCTGAACAGAATTCTGTCCCTTGGCAGGTTGTGTCTTTTAGATTGCCTGATGTTTTAGTTGGACCTATTATGATATAGCAGACCACTTCAGCTATGGGAAATGGTTTTAATTCATGCTTGTTGCAACTGAAATATAACAAGCAGTCTTCGATGATTACACTTTGATTCAGTTTTGATTGAGCATCACAGTATGATATAAAAATACAGCCCAGTAAGATTTTTGACTGAAAAGTCAATTGAAATGCTTGTAGTATGGGCACTTCATATGGACCTTTTTATCCTATTTTACCTTTTCATTACCTACAATCCTGCAATCTGGTTGCTATTGAAAACTGTGAACAAACCTTGTCCTAAAAGCACGGACGTGAATATGACCTGCCATATGACAATCGCCTCCATTCCACAGCACAGCTCCAGGCTGCCATTGGGGAGCTAGATACTGAACAGACATGTTGGGCTACATTATTTTAATATGATTATTATAGAAAATAAATACCCTGTGCTGCCCCTAATAACTTAATTCTAATAGAATAGCTCCCACTAAAATGTGCAGTCACCATACTCAAAAAGACAAAATGAACAAGTACATATAGTGAAGTGCTCCAATCAATACATTTCACAATATACTAATTATTTAACTAAAGTATATAAATGTGTAAATTCAATAAACCCATACCAAATACCACGTGAACATTTTTTTTGCTTGGCGAGAAAATGTGTACGCCCCAAAAGTCTCACACTCTTATGTAAATTACATCAAAAATTTCAATGCATTAAGAACATAAATGATAGTAGGTCTGCAATCTTCTACACTTTTCACCCAGGTCTGCTTAAAGTGTTAGTAAACCCACAACCATAAAATCAGTCTGTATATGCAGTGAAGCATGCTTGTTATACTCACTGTGGAACCTAAGGGGTTAATCTGCATTTTGTAAAAAGGCTGTTTGATCCATTCTCCTTGTTGAAATGACCACCTGATACAGACTGAATCCTAGTCACATACACATGTTCACTGTGGTGTGTGTTGCTAGAGAGCTTTTTTTTTTTCTTTGGAGAGTGCTTGTGACCAGCATAGGGCCAACCAGCACTGTCAAGACAGAGGTCAGGGGTTTCACATCCTCCTAGAGCAGAAAGAAAACTCCTCCTCCTACAGGCTTTAACCAGTGCTCTGCTAAAGTCACAAGACTGATATATACTGCTTATGAGAAAAGGTATTTAGCAGTTTAGATTTCCTAAAATAACTGCAATTCCATATTGTGTACTGTGGGAGACCAGATATAGTGAATGCAGGGTCCTTGGTTTAGTAACAGTTTAAGGATGTACCCTCACCTCCTGTGATGGATCTTGGTAATGAATAAAAGGTCTGATATTGCTTTTTAATAGATGCACTCCCCAGTTCTCCTCCTCCCACGTAGGTCTCTTCCTTCAGTGGACTCGTATAGAAACGCATAAAAACTTCAGAGTGCGTACCATGACAGACCGATCCAAATACTGTCCTGGGCTCGACCAACGCGATGACATCCGCGAACTATGCCCACTTGACGCATTGCATCCCTTTTGGACTTTTTTGCTTTTATTTAGATTAGTATTTTGTGAAATGTGGTGTTTTTTTGGCCACGCTTAATGTATTGATTGGAGCGCTTCATTATATTTACTCGTTCAATATGATGAAAAGGCCACCATTTTGTATTTTTTGAGCTGGGGTGACAGATCACTTTTTTGTATCGGCAACAACACAGAGAGAATTGAGCTTTTCATGCAGGAGCCGGAGTCTGGTGATTGGCAGATTGCCCTTTTGCGAGTTGGTTGTATGAACAAACTGCATGTTCCACTGTGCACTTAGTGATGATAAACCTTGATTTTTTTTTTTTTTTTTTTTTAAAGCGCATTCAGTTAGTGTGATTGAACCAAAAAGCAAACATTTTATTTTATTTCAGCTTATCAATTCTTAGATGCAATTGCTGCATTCATTCATTTTCTGTTAATAGGCTTTCTTCTTTTTATACAGTGAAGGAAATGCGTATTTGATCCCCTTCTGATTTTGCCCACTCGCAAAGAAATGATCAGTCTAAAAATTGAATGGTAGGTGTATTGTAACAGACAGAATAGCAACAAAAAATTAAAAAGAAATGCATGTCTAACAAATGATGCACTGATTTGCATGTTCATGAGGGCAATAAGTATTTGATCCCCTTCACAAAACATGACTTGGTATTTGGTGGCAAATCCCTTGTTGGCAATCAGAGGTTAGACGTTTCCTGTAGTTGGCCACCAGGTTTGCACACATCTCAGGAGGGATTTTGGCCCACTCCTCTTGGCAGATCCTCTTCAAGTCATTAAGGTTTGGTGGCTCAAGTTTGGCAACTCGAACTTTCAGCTCCTTCCACAGATTTTCAATCAGATTAAGGTCTGGAGACTGGCTAGGCCACTCCAAGACCTTAATGTGCTTCTTCTTGAGCCACTCCTTTGTTGCCTTGGCCGTGTGTTGTGGGTCATTGTCATGCTGGAACATCCATCCATGACCCTTTTTCAATGCCCTGGCTGAGGGAAGAAGGTTCTCACCCAAGATTTGGTGGTACATTGCCCCGTCCATCGTCCCTTTGATGCGGTGCAGTTGTCCTGTCCCCTTAGCAGAAAAACACCCCCAAAGCAGAATGTTTCCATCACCATGTTTGACAGTTTGGGTGGTGTTCTTGGGGTCATAGGCAGCATTCCTCCTCCTCCAAACACGACGAGCTGAGTTGATGCCAAAGAGCTCGATTTTGGTCTCATCTGACCACAACACTTTCAACCAGTCCTCCTCTGCATCATTCAGATGTTCAGTGGCAAACTTCAGACGGGCCTGGACATCTGCTTTCTTGAGGAGGGGGACCTTGCGGGCAATGCAGGATTTCAATCCTTGTCGGTGTAGTGTGTTGCCAATTGTTTTCTTGGTGAATGTGATCCCAGCTGCCTGAAGATCATTGACAAGATCCTCACATGTAGTTCTGGGATGATTTCTCACTGTTCTCATGATCATTGACACTCCACGAGGTGAGATCTTGCACGGTGCACCAGACCTAGGGTGACTGACAGTTGTTTTGTGTTTCTTCCATTTGCGAATGATTGCACCAACGGTTGTCACCTTCTCACCAAGCTGCTTGGCGATCGTTTTGTAGCCCAGTCCAGCCTTGTGTAGGTCTGCAATCTTGTCCCAAACATCCTTGGACAACTCTTTGGTCTTTGCCATGGTGGAGAGTTTGGAATCTGATTGTTTGATTGCTCCTGTGGACAGGTGTCTTTCATACAGGTAACAAAATGAGATTAGCAGCACTCCCTTTAAGTGACTGCTTCTAATCTCAGCTTGTTACCTGTATGAAAGACACCTGGTAGCCAGAAATCCTGCTGAATGATAGGGGATCAAATACTTATTTCCCTTTTTATGAGCATGCAAATCCATGCATAATTTGTTAGAATAGCAGCAAAAAGTTCAAAAGAAATGCATGTCTGTCTCTGTGTTACAATACACCTACCATTCGATTTTTAGAGTGATCATTTGTGAGTGGGCAAACATTCAAAATCAGCAGGGGATCAAATACTTATTTCCTTCACTGTATCTGGTGATCTGACCAGTAAGTCTGTTTTTCGGAAGAACAAGCTCTCCAGCAGAATCCGTTACAAAGATGAGACAAAGAATTACCCCTGGCAGGGGTGCTTACAATGATCTGTTTTATTTATTTAAAAATGTATCGCAAAAGGGGAAAAAAATGTCTGTAACTGCTTTTAAAGTGTTAGCTGGAGTTTGACTTCAATTTGTTAGTGTATCTACATTAACAATGCTGCTGTCCAATTGTGCCCCCTGTGCTCCTTCATCCAGAGTGGGGTCACTCTAATACATGCTACTGGCCAGATCATCAGGTGAAAGCAGAGGAGGATAAAAAGGAAACTAATGCTGCTACACAAAGGTATTATATCTTTAATCACTTACTGAGTATGCAGCATCTTTTTTTATTTCTTGCCTGAGTTTCATGTGTTTTCAGTTTAGGCTGGTGCCATGATCACTGTCCCAGTGTTCCTGTTTCAGGGGGGCTCTGTTCTTTTTGCAGTGTCCTATGACGCCATCCTTGCATGCAGGGACTAGCATTGCATCTCTCTATAGCAATCAATCAGTAGGTCTGTCAAACACACAGCCCCATAGCCTAGAATGACAAAGCACTCTTCCCCCTGCAAAAAACTCCCATCCACCCCACCTTCTCCAAGCTAATGGAATGGCTGGAGCATGCACTCTTCACTATTGATGATTTCTTTTGAAGAGCAGAAGAGGGTTTATTACTACTTCCACAGCTTTCCTTGTAAATATGAAGCCAGTTTGACTGTTTTATTTCTGTTGGACTATGCTTCTGAATTGCAAAAAATGGTAGAGGGAGGAAATGATAAACTGCCTATAGCAACTCATCGGTCTCCAGATGTGCTTGGTTACCCATCAGAACCACCAATCTTCCTCAGTCTACCTTCAGTATTCATATATTTCATATATTTGCATCGTACCTATTGATGTCTCTTCTTTATCTGTGCAGGACACAACCCTTGCTCTCTGGTTCCCCTCCATGTTCCTGTCTGCAGTGGAGGTTGCACTGTCTATCCGCTTCTGTGTTGTGGCATTCATATTGAGGGGCATTGGCCCATGTGGAGAGACTTACCTCAGAGAAAAGGTATATGCCAAATACAATGGGGTTAATAAAAGTGTCTAAGAGAACTTTTCTGTCTGGGGGGCCAGAATCCTCTTTACTTTATCATACAACCTGATTGGGTGTAGTGCTGATAGGTCTTAAAACCGCACACTTGATACACTTCACTTTTTTTTATTTTTATATAAAGAGTATAAATGGCAGAATAAATATTGGGAAATGTTGCTTATATGCAGTGTCATTGTAAACATTTGGAAGCTTTAGCTCAGGTTGTCTCCCATACAGATTTGCAAAACCTTTGGACAATCAAACCATAAACCTTTTTGTATTTCAGTTGTGTAGATGGTGTTGCCTGCAGGTCATTGCTGAAAAATGAACATCTTCAGCCACCATATATATTGCTGAAGAACAGCACATATCTGCTTACCACAAGGTTTCTGTACGATGTGTGACAATTTAATTCTTGTAATGCATGTAGCTCAGCACTATGGTGGGGAGTTGCACAGCCATTCTCACTCAAGCATGTTCTAATTTGCAGTCGTCTGGGGCGCAGACCAGTTGACTCCTGTCTTCTACTATTCTCTAAAGACTAACGTGTGTGGGTTGCAGTGTTGGTGAAAAATGAGTGACCGGAATCTGGAGCAGCGGATTACCAGATTTTCGCGCGAAAATTGGCAAAAGTAGTAATGAAACTTTTAGATCTGAACAGTCATGAAGAAATCAAGTGTTTTTGAGTGGCATAGGCGGTTTAAGGAGGGTTGGGAAGATGTCGATGAGAACGCTAGAAGTGGGCATCAAGGGACAGATGCAAATGTGGACAGTCTGTTAGGAGGAAAGATCAGAACTCTGCCCTGACAAGTTTATTCTCCACCATGACAATACTCCTGCACGTGATGCTTTGAGTGATCGAGTTACTGGGCCAGAAATCCTTTCTGAAACTTGACCAACCACTTTATTTCCCTGACTTTGAACTCCTGCAACTTTTGGCTGTTTCCAAAATTTAAAAAAAATGCCTTAGCCGCAGATTGGATGACATTCTGGGCATACAGCACACTGCGACAAAGATACTGTACGGCATTCCTGAGGAAAAAAAATTCTAGGAATGATTCCAGCAGTTGTCTAGAATAGTGAATTGCTTCACAAGGGGACTACTTTTTGAAGGTGACAACAGCCGCTAGTGTAAAGGTTAGCAAACAGGATTTTTTTTTCTTTTTTTTTAGTGTTTATTTTGGGAATTAAATTGTCACACTTGGTATACGGTCAGCTTACTTTTGACCATTGCTGACTGCATAACCCAAAAAATATTTTATCTCTCCCCAAACCCAATAAAAATTTAGGAACTGGAGGTGCAGAAATCTTCAGGACAGAGACTTCTAAAGGTCATACAGCATTTAGAACTATGAAGTACCAGGTGGCCATGACCTGAGGTTATGGATTACTAAGGTTCTAACTAATTCTACTGCATGGTATTTCAGCTTCAGGAAGAGGAGGCTGAGAGGGAGCGTCTGGAGGATGTAAGAAGACCAGAAACCCACCAGCTGATTGAAGCACAGGCCTGAGAATTGCACTGAGGTCAGTGGCCTGTCCAGACTTCAGATATCTGGGGAGGATTATCAGGAGACCTTAAATTTATTCACCAGTGAAACAGGACCTGATTAGGGCATGAACATTTATATTATACCTGGATGTCCAGCATTCTAAGACTGGCTGTACATTATACAATTTTTCTTGTACAAGTTTCTGTTCAGATTTACCAAAACCATATAATATGATATCAAACCTAAACACTTTCAATTTGTATGCAATCAGGCAGGCCCTTGCACTACATAGTAGGAATTGATAAGAAAATTGTATGGTGTATGGGCAGCTTGAGACCCTATAGTAGCTGATGGCATGCTCACCAGTGCTGAAACGGAGTTTGAGAAAGCAGCCCTATGTGCTCAGTGCTTCATATACAACAGTTTGTAGCTCAGGCTGTACTGGCACACAAACAGTGGGGTAGGAAAGAAGTTAAAGCACTTAGTCATGTGACAAGAAGCCGCAGTCCTACCCAGATCTCCTGTGAGAAGTGTGTAAACCTAGAAGTACTAGGTTTCTGACAACTAGGACTTTGGCAGACAACCTACTTTAACTTCCCAATATTTGGTGACCTTTTCCTTTTTTTTTTTTTTTTTTTTTTTTTTTTTTTTTTTTTTTTTTTCCTCCCCTCTAGTTATCAATTTTTGTTTCATCCAGTACAGTCAGAACCCTGCTAGATGATTGCTGAGATGATTTTTTTTTTTTTTTTTTTGGCTAGAGTCTGCAGACTCCGAAGCTGATATTAAGAGAGAGCAGCAGTGACGCTGAACAGTCATTAATAAGCAGGAAATTATAGTCTGCATATATACTGTGCAAATATAGATGCATCCTTGTATATAGATTTACATTAAACTTCTTACACTTAAATAAACGCTATTTTGTCCTGGATAGCTTTTAAAGTTAATATTTGCAGTTGTTGCCACTGAATATGTTGGGTTTTTCTTCCCTTCAGATGTTTGATGAATAGGAGGGCTGTGTGGATGTGTTTCTGTGAAGTATCCACTGGGTCTGGAGAACCAGGATATAAAAACCTGACGGTCATAATGTTTTATACACAGCGTCCTTCCAACTGAGACACTATTACCTGTGCCAGCAGGAGCTGCTCTTCATTTTTTTTTTTTTTTTTTTTTTTTTTTTTTTTTTTTATTTGTCCTATGTAAAGATTTGTTTCATGTTGTGTGAGTTTTTTTTTTTTTTTTTTTTAATGTATTTTTTATTAAATAAAACACAGCCATTCTTTCCTGTTTATTCTGCTCAGGTGAGATTGTGACTCTTTCTGAAAAGTAAATATATTTACAGGAGATAGGGGTTTGTCTTTTTTATTTTATTTACTTTTTAGTGATGTTTTTTTTATTTTGTGTGTGTGCATTGTGTGGCATCACTTGGCAAGGTTTTAAATATCTTCAAAGAAGGCTGCTATTTTTTTTTTTAAACTAATAGTTCGGGTTAGGGTGCATAAAAACATGACTGCAATGGCAGGCTCCTGCAGACTCGTCTTCCAGCTCCATAGAGAGGTGTGAACTTTCATTTGGAGAACTGGAGGAAGTATCCTTGCACTAAGAGTGTGGTGGCAGAAAGGACTTGTAGTTTAATATATTCAAGATCTCTATGAATGAATGACATGGCTGTGCGAGGAGAGGGGGGACATTGTGTTTTGGGGGGGTGGTGTCCCATTTGCACCATGTTACACCCTAAATATAGATGTAACATGGTGAAAAAGGTGAGGTTAGCCTTTAAAGCTGAAACAAGGGCCAAAAAAACTGAGCTTGCTGGCTCTTTATTACTGCAGAGATGTGCATATTTTTTGGAGAGGTCTAACTTCTAGCTGCCTAATCAGCTGGGGGCATGAGCTTTATGAAGCACAGAGCTATAGGTCTGTCTCGGTAGGGAAGGGAGGTGGGGGTTAGACCTCTGATATGAAACCACTGCTTCCCCACAGTGAGCAAGGGTTTCACCCTGTTTCTGCTGGCAGGATACAGGCTTTTCTACTTGGGCAGTTGCTGCTTTCTAAAGAAAACAAACTGCAAGACATTGAACACCTTTTTGGTTTGATGTGCCTGGAGTTTATTTAGCCAGTTTAAACTAAAGGGTCAATTTGACTTATCTGTTGCTATGTACAATGCACGACTCTCAGTTTCTAGAAATTGCAACTCCCTTTTCAGGTTTTTAGTAAAAATGGATAATCTGGGAGCTGATCTGTTTCACCTTATTTCAGGCAAGCAGCGAAACAGTACCCTTAATGCTGTGGCCCATGTCTTATGTTACCAGAGATTGCCATAAAGACACCTGGTCCGATCTTGCTTACAGTGCTAAATTGTAGCATGGTTCTTTCATCCTTTTAAAAACCATGTGTAGAAAATGTTCTGCTGAGGTATATAGAGATCATGATCGTTTATCAGCAACTGCAATGTTATATTTATAAGTAGTCAGTTCAACATGCTTCTGATTAACAAGGCAGAAGTTCTGTTCCTAGCCTCCTCTTCTGATTTCCACTGGTCAGAATGAAATCCATGTGTATGAGGCTCTTCCCCAGCTCTGTGCTCATTCTGCTTCCAATGTTCTGATTGGTGGTATTGGGCACTTGGTCTGAGAAAACTGCCATTTGTTCAGGTAGTGTCTCTACTTCTTTCTTATTGCCCTAAACAGAACAGAAAACAAAGCTGGTTTAGTTGGAGGTGAAAGATCACGGGGCCCTGTACAGCTTACCTGACACTCTCCCCCTACCTCCAATAAGTACTACTTCTACTAACCTATTGATGGTCTTGGAAATGGCAGTTAGTGTTTAGGGAGTCAGCAATGGCAGCTTATATATGAGGGTGATCCCACTGCCTTCACTAGGCATCTTGCCCAACGTGATTGGTGCAGTCCCTGGCATTACCCTGTGCAGTCCTTCCCTCTGCCAACTTTACTGACAGCCCAGATTTTTCCTCTCTGTCACCTGAGTATACCCCATAGTGATCCGTCCTAAGTAATGTGAGAAAGATCTCAAATAATTCACTGATCATATCCTGTACTTGTCATATCATGCCATATCACTAAAATGGAGTACAGGGGAGCTGGGATGTACATTACTGTATACATGTCATATCACTATAATGGAGTACAGGGGAGCTGGGATGTACATTACTGTATACATGTCATATCACTATAATGGAGTACAGGGGAGCTGGGATGTACATTACTGTATACATGTCATATCACTATAATGGAGTACAGGGGAGCTGGGATGTATATTACTGTATACATGTCACATCACTATAATGGAGTACAGGGGAGGGGGATATACATTACTGTATACATGTCACATCACTATAATGGAGTACAGGGGAGCTGGGATATACATTACTGTATACATGTCATATCGCTGTAATGGAGTACAGCGGAGGGGGATATACATGTCTGTATACATGTCATATCGCTGTAATGGAGTACAGGGGAGGGGGATATACATTACCGTGTACATGTCATATCGCTATCATGGAGTACGGGGGAGCTGGGATATACATTACCGTGTACATGTCATATCGCTATCATGGAGTACGGGGGAGCTGGGATATACATTACCGTGTACATGTCATATCGCTATCATGGAGTACGGGGGAGCTGGGATATACATTACCGTGTACATGTCATATCGCTATCATGGAGTACAGGGGAGCTGGGATATACATACTGTATACATGTCATATCACTATAATGGAGTACAGGGGAGCTGGGATATACATACTGTATACATGTCATATCACTGTAGCTGAAGTGATGACATCTCTCTCGATTGGCTGATAGGCCTGAGAACTTTCACAGGGAAGGAGGTCACATGATTCCCCATACTAGGAAGAGCCAGGTAGTGTCACAAGCTGCAGAAAAGGAAGGGGTGGGAGGGGATCCTGGGTTGGAGGGTGTCCTTTGCAGATCCACTGTCCTATTTCATGGGAAATGGAACATTGTCTTCCCTTTTTCTTAAAAAAAATCAGACCATTGCTGATTGTAAACCACTCCTAAAAATGCTTGTTACCTGTCTGTTATGCTATGCAAATGACATTAGTACTTTTAGTTGCAACACAAGTATGCAGATCAGGTTTCCACTTGCTGCATGCTTGTTCTAAGACACACCTATTAACACACCTACTAAAGCAAGACACAGCTAGAAAACTAGCATTTTCAGAAGGAGGGCAGTTACAGCAGCCTACATTTTTTTTTATCCAGTTTTTTTTTTTAAACAGTTCTTAAAAGTTTGCCTCACCAATGTGTCATATTCCGTTAGGAAGCTCCAATTTTCATGCCTAGAAGAAGCAAAATATAAATTATCTTAAATACTTGTTTGTTACATTATCCTTGTAACAGCTTAAAAAAAAAAAAAGAATTCCAGGTATGGATATTTTACACATAGTTACATTGCTATAGCTTGGTCCATATACCATATCTGGTCGATTACCTTGACCTCACTGCTCTGTCTCTCCACCTCATCCAATAGGGGCAAAACATTCTCTGAATGGTGGCCAAGCCAAGTGGCTGACCTGTGTTCAGGAGACAGCAGGGCAGCCACTTGGCACTGTACCTGGAAGCTAGTGGAAATCACTGGCATACTGATGTCTACTTGAGTGACATTTAGCATGCAGGGACATCTCCCAGGTATGGTATATAAATGGTTACATTGGTCCAAGCAGGACCAATGCACCTATGTAAAAACATTCCAAGCCTGAAATTTTAATTGTTAATCTTTATTATAGTCTACTGTATAGTCAAACCGATAGCTAGATACATAGATATATACAGTATATATATTTTTTTTAATTGGTACCCTCCCTCCTAGTCACATATAGAAAATTCATGGTAAACAATGCAAGTGTGACTAGACCTTTCCACATAATGTCAATGAGGTAACATATCCTGAATGGGGTCACAGACAGAAATAAAGAAAATGTAATCAATCTACCCCACCCTATCCAAAACAAAAAAAAATGTTTAAATGGTTGCTGGATAAATTTCTCTGTTCATTACAGTTAAAACAGTGGCTTGGGAATTGAATCTAATTAGAAATTACTCCTGGTCTGGTACATTGTCCCTTTTGGCAAAATTTGTCTCCAGTGCTTCTTTTAAATTCTTTGGGGCATGTCAGATTTAGGGTACCCATTTAGACGTATGGTGGGAACGCCTTAAAATTAGAAATAGTGGACTGGTGTATATCAAGTGGCATATACACTCTTGGGCAAAGATATTTAAAAAAACCCAAGAGAAGTTTTAATAAACTTGAAGCATGAATTCTGTATGAATAACCAATTTAATCTACTCACAGTTCTTTTCATGGTGGCTAAACAGGTTCTAGCAAAAGCATGATTGTTGCCAAACTCTACAACTGGCCAATTGAAAGAGTAAATTAGTTGGTTTTTGTCCCTAATAAGAAAATGGCAGCATAACTCCAAGACCACAACCCTAAATTTAAATGACTTTGTATGCGCTGGATTGATTCTTAACACCCATATGATTTTCATTGCACGATGATGAAACTTTGACGAAGTAGCTGTTAATCTCACCAACAGGGTGACGAGAACCCAACCTGCCCCACTCACACCCATCTGTCCTTTCTAGATCCCACTATAACTCCCAACTTGCCTATTCTTTTGCTCTGACTTTCACCTACCAACAATTTCATACCAAGAGTTCTCTCTCTCTCTCTCTCTCTCAAGAAAGGGGATTTAAGTGACTTTGAACGTTGCATGGTTGTTCGTGGCAGACAGGCTGGTTTGACTATTTCAAAAACTGCTGATCTACTGGGATTTTCACACACAACCATCTCTAGGGTTTGCAGAGAATGGTCCGAAAAAGATAAAATATCCAGTGAACGGCAATGTGGACAAAAATGCTGCCTGGTTGATGTCAGAGGAGAATGGCCATCTCATTATGACTACAATGTACCTATCTTCTGATGGCTACTTCCAGCAGAATAATGCTTATATGTCCAATACCTTGTTGAATCTATGCCACGAAGAATTAAGGCAGTTCTGAAGGCAAAAGGGGGTCCAACCCAGTACTAGCAAGGTGTTCCTAATAAAGCGGCCGAGCAGTGTATGATACTTGAAATCTGGCAGACGCATCCATACCTGATCAATGATCACTCATATCATAATTGTTTACTTTTGAGAAAGGTCATTTTGTAAACATTTTGAAAACATTGTCAGCAAGAAGTCTGGAATAAAGTATCACTGTCTCGTATATTTAAAATCTTCAAAAAAATTTTCAATAAAAATGTATTGAAATGAAAACATTGAAATGACCCAGAATAGAAGACTTAGGTCAAGCAGCCTGATGATCAGCATTGCTGTCAACATCAATATCATAGAAGTCAATGCTTATTAATGCATACCTACACAGAACTGTAAAAAACAGCCAAATACTACAGCTGTCCTATAGGAGGATTATATAAAAGGAGCCATGAAAAGCTGTAGTCTAGGAGTACATAGTCAATCACACTACTTAAATTTCTAGGGATTACATGATATTTAAAGCCCAAACCTTTTTTTCTCTTTGTGAAAAGAATCGGGGAAGGTTAAAACCACTGTTTTGTTTTTCAATTAGTTTTTTTTCTCATTACGGAGATGTCCCTTAACTCACTGCCCTGTAGACACAGTGAGGAAGTTAGAGGATATCTTTCCAATGTGAAGGAAATCTCTTAAAGAGGAACTTCACTGTCTCAATCAACATTGACTATTTCCAGTCCTTTTGCAGCTAGCATTAGTAAATAGATAGGAAAGCATTTCATACTTGTTTTAAACCTTTTTTTAAATTTTTTTTTCAATTACTTCCTGATTTTCATGCCTAGGCAAATGATGTCATACATCCCAGGAGTTTGCAGGATGGGAGGAGGGGTTTTCTCAGCTAAGCACACCCTCCTGCCTGCATGCCGGAGCTAGAGGCAAATGGATTCCAGGAATTAACTGCTACATGATTCATCTGCCCTTGCTCAAGATGGGAGTTTGCTTTGAATATCAAAAATAAATAGCATTTTTGGTTTGTGGTGCTCAGGTGTAGTGAAGTTCCAATTTAAGCTGGCCATACACCAGTAGAATTTTGAATGAATTTTTTCATTTCCAGAATGTTCATTTAACTTTCTAATGCAGCCTTTGTCAACCAGGGTTCCTCCAAAGGTTGCTATGGGTTCCTTAAGCAATAAGCACTTTCTACCTCTCAGATAAGTAACCACTGACACCAATGATCTTTTAAGCTGTCTGTAAGAGGGGCATTCCTCACACTAACCATCAATGTAGGAAGCAATCTTCCCACTGACCATCAATGTATGAAACAATATTTCCACTGACCATCAGTGTGAGAAGCAATCTTCCCACTGACCATCAATGTAAGAAGCAACTGATGATCAATGTAAGAAGCAATCTTCCCACTGACCATCAATGTAAGAAGTGTTCTTCCCACTGACCATTGATGTTTGAAGCAATCTTCCCACTGACCATCAATGTAAGAAGCAATCTTCCCACTGACCATCAATGTAAGAAGCAATCTTCCCACTGACCATCAATGTAAGAAGTGTTCTTCACACTGACCATCGATGTTCAAAGCAATCTTCCCACTGACCACAAATGTTCGAAGCAATCTTCCCACTGATGACAAATGTTCGAAGCAATCTTCCCACTGGCCATCAATGTAAGAAGTATTCTTCCCACTGACCATTGATATTAGAAGTATTCTTTCCCCCTGTCCACCAAACTAATGTACCATAAGCTGATAATATAGTAATTATTACCAGGGGTTCCTCGAAACCTGAAAGTTAATTTAAGGATTCCTCCATGTTAAAAAGGGTTGAAAGAGGCCTAATAGCAGAGTCAAACTGATGCTTGTTTTTTCAACCGTAGTGATGAGAAAATTCAAAGGAGAAGGATGGAAAACTGTTTGCGAATGGACAAAATTTTAACTGTGAATGTAATTTTTTGTTCAGAATAAAATCGTACATATTGTAATGAAGCCTGTTTATTACATCTGGGATTTCATTCAAATAGTAGCTCTGGACAAAAAAATTTTAAGGCTTTTAAATTAAATTAATTGACTTAGTGATGACAAGAAAGAATGTCCTGATGAACGATTTTTCTATGAACGTTCAAGTGAAAATCTAACTATATGGCCAGCTTTATACAGTTGTCACAGGAACAAACATTCTCTTTGGAAGATTAACCCTCTATTTCCATTCTGGTGTCAGCTCAAAATTTTTTATTTTTTTCCTTTCATTACCAGTGACATTGGTGATCAGGGCAATCCAGTTCACACAGGTGGTAAATGGGTGTTAAAAAAAATAAAAAGGTGGTTGGCCCACATTTTGACCTCCCCGTAACCACCTACCTACAAGTTAAAGTAGAACTATAGGCAAAACTTTTTCCTGGCACCAACATGGCAGCATACATGTGATATAGCTCTGCCCCTATATCCACCCACAGGACGTGTGTAAACCTATAAAAGTCTGACTGAGAGTAACCTCCCCCATTCTCCTTTTTGTCCTCAAGATCTACACCTGCAAGACCGTGATGTTGTGATAAGTCCCTACCTGCCAACCCCAGGCGCAGGCGCAGTCCTGTATCTTAGGTTGCTAAATGCACCAACAAGGTGGGGAGCCCCTTCTGGTGATCTTTTGGGGCTGAGATGTTCTCTAACCAGAGACGTCAGAACCTCATGTTCTGCACTTTAGCTGGTGTTTGTTTGCTGTGGTCCATGCTGCATATGTTTCTCTGCACACCTGAGCAGAATCATGATACTGAAGTTAGTGCTGCCTTTTTCTTTTCTCCCACAGGTTAGTGCTATTCCTTTTTGTCTTCCTCCCTTGCCTCTACCTTCATTAGGTTTTGTCATTTTTCCTTTGTGAGAGTGATTTGGGGGGCTTTCTTTTGTCAGCAGTTTTTTCCTTTCACCTGTGACCAGTGTGCATACACGATCCGGTCCAGAGTTTGTGGCTGTTTCCGGACTCGTGGCTGTTTCCGGTCTCATGGCCGGTTATGGCATCCACACATACACTGTGCAGAGGGCCTCTTGTGGCGACCATCTTTGTTAAGTCATGTCCAGGCTCATGCATGTGCAAGGTGGGTTTGCATTGAAACATCTTCTGTTTTCCCTTGGTTATGCTGCAGATGAATGAGGGAAAGGGGGCAGATGATTCAGGCACATGTCTATGATCTCTTTTCTTTTTTCTCTTAGTCTCTTTCATTTTACTTTCTGCGCAGTGCTGATATCCTTGCTCCAGCATGAGCCTTCTGCCACATAACCAAGACCTCCATGTGCTTAGGTA